AAAGCCTTTCAAACCACTTAATGAGAAAGCTATGGATATCAACAGCAGAAGTAAAAATATCTAAAACGGGAGGAAGATGCCTACATCCTACCATGCTAATTTATATTGTTAGAGTGGAAAGGAAATGGTAATGTTAGCTGTGCTGAGGATTTTCAAAAGTTGTATTTATTTTTGGCTTCCTTTCAAAAATAATGTTCCAATAAATATGCAGCACGCTGGGTTTGTGGCACTGGTAGTGTGTCCATCACCATGGCACCTGAGCACTCAAGCAAATGATTAACCATCAGAGCAAATGAAACAGAAGCTGAGAGCCATCAGGCACTGTGACAAGCTCTTCATAGACCTTACAGTATGCCAGTGCATCTCTGTCTGGACTTTTACTCCTTCAGGCTTTCCACTGTCCTATCATTCCTATTCTTATGATAACCAGGTCTTTTTTTCAAGCAGTGATAAAGGATGCAGAGATCTCAGACTGTCTTTGGAGAAAGAAGGAGATACAAAAAAAACCAAAATACAAAAAACAACAACAAAAAACAACTAAACCAACCAACCCAAAAACCAATACACACTTTCATCAGGAAAACATTGCTTAAGGACACAGTAAGGAAAAAAATAATTTTCATTTGTACAAACCAATTATGAATCGACAAACTTTGTTATGTCTGCCCTGCCATCAGCTTAACCCTTAAATTACTTCTCTGAAGAAGGAAAACGAGTCTTTCTTCACTGAGGGTCAATATGATCTTTCAGGAGACTGATGCAGACCATACTTCAACACTATTGTTAGTATTATCTAATAATAATGAAAAGAATACATAAAAACATATGGCTATGTGCCGCCTTCAAAAACTCTGGAGATCGCATCAGGCCCTCCCCACACTTTAAATAAGCAGCAAGTTAATGACAACTCCACTGATGTTTGTTTAACATATGTGCATATAACTAATGATAGCTTTTTACGGCTTAGGATGCTCAAGCAGAGACCTCTGAGGTTTTAGAAAAAAAAAAATAAAAATCTTCTGTTGAATCATCTATCCCTTGCTGTTTTGTTTTGTACAAAATCTCTGAGTGGTACAGGAAAGTAGAGGGCCTTGCACGCAGGCCAACTTTACAAAGGCTAGATCCTTTCACTACTGGAGAATTGTGCAGTTATAATACAACACTCACTGTTTTCCATCACTAATCAAGGCAATGATATTGCATACTAATTAAATTGGTGTCACATGGAGTTTTTCCTCTTTACTGTAGCTGCTTCAGACTTAGGAGATAGTTACATCCTCTCCATTCCAGTTTATCCTTTAAAGAGGAGTAAGTTTTGGGGACAATGCCACATTGCCAGCAATGAAGATTCAAGTTCTCACTTCCCAGGGCAGGTACAATGTGCTGTGCTACCACTGTGCCTCAGCAGCAGTTTTGAAGCACATAAGGAGCAATGCACTGCCCACCTATATTTGACTGTGACACCCTGGATTAAAGTTCACTCCAAGCATCACTCTGATTCTGTTACCTCTCCTGTGTCTAAATTATATCCATCACTGTCATCTCTAAAGATTCAGATCTTCTGCACACTTCATCAGGCATTATAATCGAAGGTAATGAAAGATATGTTTGTTTAGCTGTTGTAAATGGCTTTGAAGATCTCAGTTTGAGCAAGGGTGATGAATTAAGGATGTCAGCTGGGCAAACAGTTTAATTTCGAATGAACTTAGCTAAAATGGATTACTGAAAAACCAATATGGATTTTTCAAATTCATATTATTTCACATACTCTACCAGTAAATATTTTACCCCTTCTTGCCATCTGACTCACCAAGCATAAACTGAAAGAATCAGCAATGACATTCAGCTTCTGAAACATGAGACTAACTTTGGTGACTATAGGTGTAAGATGCCACTTTTTGACTGCAGCAGGGAGTATAGCCCTCAAACAATTTAGCCCTCGGCAGACTAAATTTCTGCATAATAGCAATTCTGTAAAACAGCCTGAGCATGGTAATCAAAGCATTTTATAACAAAATTCAGAAAGTAACAACTGAAAAGAACTATTCCATAACACAGTTATTTACTGGAAGTACCTGGTTTTTTTATTCTCCCTGGTCCATTTTCAATGAATTAAAATAATAACTTAAGGGGAAAGAAAATTATCTTAAAATAGTCGTGGGGGTTTTTTCCTCTCTCAGGTAATTTGGAGCCAGGAAGAATCCAAAATAACAGCATGATTGTTGAAAATCACAGGGTAAGGTTGGAAATGTCTAGAGGTCATCTAGTCCAACCTCATGCTCAAATCAGTGCCATCTTAGAACAGGTAGCTCAGAATTAAAAGGGAAAGAAAATAATTTACAGAAAAAAAATTTAAAGAAAAAGAATTTAAAAGAAAATTAAGTTTTCCTCTATCCCCTTTTGCACCAGAAGGGGGGGAGGGAGTAAGGAAATATTTTCTTGAAACATATAGCTCTTCTGTGTTGTTTATTAGTAAATATGACCAACATGGAAAATAGATTAAAGCTTCCTCCTTTGGTTGACCTACTTCCCTTTCTGTCTTGAGGCAGGTAACATTTAAGCACAATGTGTGGCAAACTCCAACTCAGTTGCCAGAGCTGCTCTGCCACACTGCTGGCCAGAAAAGGCTAGGAATGCTGCAAGTTTGGCTCCAGTGACAGAGAAAATGTTCCATTCATTAGCAGTCCCCTCCAAGTTAATCAAGGAACACAGTCAACAGCTGTTGAGGAGGGTTCCACCCCATCTTTCCCTGGGAAAGCAACGCCTCTAGGGCAGGGCCTGGACTGTACAGCAAAGAAGAATAGGGTGGGGAAACCTTGCTAGATCTCAGTGAAACCCAGATGACTCATCAGAAAGTAAAACATTTCTATTTTGGCAAGAGGCTGAAATAGCAGCCCTGGGTTGTGCTGCAACACAGCAATAAATGACCCTGAGCACTTGGGACAAACTCCTGTGCACATTGATATTCCTAATGGTAGGGGTTATTTCACATCTCATTAAACAAAGAGGTTTACATGACAATTAACACATTAATTAGCACCATCTTTTTCACAGTTGGAACTTTGCCTTGAGATTTCAACATTTTTAGACAACCGTTCTGTGAGTGAAAATGAAGGAATAGTTTTTTTATGACTCAAGGTCATAAAAAGAAGACACTCTAAGTGACAAGGACTCCTATACAGAACTGGCATAGAAGTATATTTATCTATGTACTGAAGAACACTGCAACCAGTCAATGGCCTTTCTCATAACTTCCATGTTGTACAATCTGCACCCTGCCATTCAAAGCCTGGCCCTCAGCCTTGGCAAGGTGCCAGGCTGGACACTTCATATGCTGACCATAAACAAGCCTAATGTACCCCAAAGTCACACAGGGGCAAAGCAAAGCCTGGATTTCAAAAAGCAGTAGCTCCCATTCCTTAGCCCCAGCCGCTGACCTGTGTGGCTCCCCACTACAACAATCCCTTCCACCGTATCTGTAGAGACGTGACCTGTGGGAAAACTCTTCAGCAAACACCAAAAAGCAACACTGCTAAATTCACTGAAAATAGGTAACAGCTATAAGAGAATGTTTATTGCCCAAGAGCTTCACATTTTAGATACAGAACTAGTAACTTCTGTGAGTTGGCACACAAGTATAGATATCCTTAAACTGCATGTGCATTTCTCTCTCAGGTTTTTGTTCAATACCATCTTTAATTTCTATTTTCTTTTGAGAGAATGGATTTGCAAGTATACAAGAAGACATAGAATACTGGAAATGGAATGAAGGGAATTAAAAACTGGAAACTCGTAGCTTTCAAGACCAGGTGGATTCTGATATTCATGGGGTCTATTCCCCATCAGATGGATGTTGCCAACCCATGGAAAATAGTGACATGTTTTGTACATGTTATCTTTTACCTCCCTCAGGTATATACTACAAAGAAGTATGTATAAACAATAACAATATATAAACTAACAATAAACATATTAATCTTTTACATGTTTTGGCACTCAAGGCACAGAAAAATCATTGTGTCATAGCCTTACCTATCATACCACTTACAAAATGAATCTATGCTCAGGAGGAACACCAGATAACTTTTCCTTTAATTAGCTTTTCAAAGCTGATGATACTTTTTAGAATATGATTTATTTCTTTTATTTATCACCCTGCCTTGTTTCAGATGGATAGTGTTTGACTGACCTCTAGATACCCTTGCACTTGCTCTGTGATATCCCCAGAATGTCAGTGCTTTGATTCTTCATCTTTCATTTCCTAAACGTTTCTTATTGGTCACTTCTGCTACCAGTGGCAGCTGAAGTGGAAGTTTATCCTCTGATAATCTGTACTGCTTTAATGGTTCCCACCATCCTGAGGATATTTTCCAAGTGTTATGGTGACACCAGCTGAGATCTTGGCAACAGAAAAGTGTTTCATATGTTTATTTCCTAACTTAGTCTTTTAGGTTTTTTTCTGCTTTCTCAAGCCTCTGTCACTCCCTTGATTTCTATGGCTCAACTCCTTTTGTTATTGCTATATTCTTTGTTATCATTTCTCAGTATCTTTTTGATTATAAAGCCTTTGAAGAACCTGAGGGCATCGCCAACATGCATCCAAAAATCTCTTAGTAAGGAGATGAGCAAAAATCTCCGCTAAAAGGAACAATAATAGTTACATCTTATTTATATATTTATCTGTAAACCAGAGGAACTATAGCACACAAACCTTGTAAAATGATGAGCATGTTTCAAACAGTTTTAATATAAAATATCACATATAAAACAGCTTACCAGTTTTAGCACGTCTCCAAAATAACGTATGCTTAGAAATGCTTATCCTTGTAGCATCATTATCCCTTCTTTTTTTCCAAGAGGAAATTAATCTTGCACCAGCATGCCCAAAAAAGCACAATTCTCATCTAATTTCAATCACTCACTCAGTTTGCTCATGACTTTTATACAGCTGACTGAACATCTATTATCTCACCCGAAAGAGAAGCTGTGAGTTTGCTCACCTCGGTCACCTGCAGGATTTTTGAAACGCCTCCTCTTCTGTTCCTTCCAAAGAGTGCCTTTCTGCATCTCCCAGTCCATTCCCGAGTCCACTGAACATGCAGACATCAATAAGTTCTGGCTAAGTTATCCCACGTAACTCTGAAGAAAAAAAGGAGACCCTTGCAAATGCTGCAGAAGGTCTTCTTTACTCTCTTAGAAAATTTTGTTTCCTTGGTAGTCTGTCACAGTCAGGTCTCCGGTAGTAAACTGAACAACCTATCCTCCTGGCTCTTCTTTTCTTCTTTTTCTTTTCTGTAAACACATAATCAGGGCTTCAAATCCTTTAGGCATCACAAAACTGTATTTCTCTATTGCCCTCTACTGACTGCTGGGTAACGCCGCCTTCCCGGAGAACTGGCGAGCAACAGATACACGGTAACGCGTTCCCCCGCCGCCCTCCCTCGGATCGATAATGATACACGATGACCAAAAGTCAACACAAATCATTCTATTTTTCTCTTTGTTACAGAACACAAGGCAAGATTTACAGCTTCTTGGCCAGCCGTGGTAGCTGCAAAACACTAAACAACAGAAGCAGGAAGCAGTAACATGGCTCTGCTAATGTGTGTGTGTGTGGGGGGGTGTTTGTTGTTTTTTGCGAACAAAAGCCAGGAGAAAGTACAGATGAATGCATTCTGCCTTGAAATGCAGATGAATTCACCCCACTGATGCCACAAATACTGTACTGGGGATCTGAATGTTATCTGATTTTAAGGGTTTGGTCCTGCCCGCACTGGATGCACAGAAATACTGACTTTTGATGGGAGTTCTGCATGAAGGGGCTGGTTGAGAGCCATGAATTTAAGGCCATGGGTTTTGGTCATTTCCCCTTTGTGTCTGAGTTCTGTTTAGCACATTCAGCACCACACCTAACATGGGAAACATCATGTGACAGGATCCGGGGCAAGACACACACTGTGTATGAATGGCACTGGGAGTGGCTGTTGGCACTGCTTTTCGGACAAAGATGATCTATTATGCAAAGAGAACCCAGCGAACTAAGATAAAAAAGGGAATGGCCCAAAGTTGTTTCAGGAGCAGAGGAAAAAAAAAATCAGCATTTCAGCCAGACTGTAAGAGATTGAGAAGAAAAAAGCAGGGATAAGAAGAGTGTAAGAGTGTGGGGGAGGGGGAAGCAGTTGGTGGAGAAATCAAAATTAATCCTTTGCATTGTATTAGTCACTGCTTAATTAGTAAAGCACAGTGCTTGCTAACCAGGTCACTCAGGCACTTGTTCTTACCAAAAAAAAGTTAAACCAGGGTGCTGGTGCAAGTGTTCTGGCCCACCTGCACCATTCCAGGGGCAGGAAGAAGTCAGTCTGTCAGCTCCAGGCAACAGAATAAATCCCCAGCACATTTCCCTTTTGCTAGGCAGAGGCTGGGAGAGAACACGGCATTATCTTGCTGTACCATTCTTTCTCTGCAACCAACTCTCTTAGGGAGTAAGCATGGTTAAAAAATTATAAAAATAGACCCACCCCTCAAAAAAGTGTTGGAACTATTTTTCCGTACTTGTGTTCAAAAAATACATTCATTTTTTTCCCACCAATATTAATAACCAGGAATATTTAATTTGCCAAAAAATCTGTTGACTGATGAACACTGGTCGTGCTTTAAATAGATATTATACGACATCCCTGCTCTTCCACTTAGGAAAGATAGAGTTCACATAAAAACTATGATCAACCAAGCCAGCAACATGGCAATAAAAGTTTAGTATTGAAAGGTTCATTGAAAAAAATTATTTTCAATTCAAAGATAAAGTCAGCAGAGGCCCTAATTGTAGCTATTAGGAACATTTCATTAACAAGCCAGATTTACTGACTGCATTGTAAAGCTCTATTAAAGGAAGCCCTGAAATTCCTTTTTGCCCCATTCTTTTTCTATGTCTAAAGCTCTTAGCTATTCCATGATAGAAAATAAGAAATAATTGTATTTATTCAAATTCCTTGATAGAATAGCGAAGCCTGCTCAGCTGAATACCTCTCCTAAGTGAACACCATTACCAATAGATCAAAGGAGGAAAACGTCTAGCAAATGAATGGGGCCGAGGACACACATCAAACGGTGAAAAGCTGAGGGTTTGTTTTTTGGTTTTTGTTTGGTTGGGTTTTTTTTTTAATGGAAGCGCATTTGCAGAGCGATAAAGCAAGTATGCAGTTGCCAAAATTCATAGAAGGGCACCTCAAATAGAGCGGGCGACGGGTTGAGCTCAGCACTCCCGAGCATCAGGCGTCACTCTGGAGCTGCTGCTGCTGCAAATCCTTCACGTGACAATCCCTGACAGAGACATCCGTAGGGTTTGGTTTTGGGTTTGTTTTTGTTTTTTTTTTTTTCCCATAGAATCACAGAATAGTTAGGGTTGGAAGGGACCCCAAGGCAGAGTCACCCAGAGCAGGTGACACAGGAACGCGTCCAGGTGGGTTTGGAATGTCTCCAGAGAGAGGGAGACTCAGCGACGTCCCTGGGCAGCCTGTTCCAGAGCTCTGCCGCCCTCAACGCCAAGTTCTTCCTCATGTTTTTTCCCTAGGGTAAAAGTTTTCTTCCCTACAGGCAAAACTTTTCACGCCGCTGGAGACACAGGCGGCTCCCGAGCACGCACTGCCCGTTCCGAGCGGGCGGCGTGGTGAGGGCCGGGCTCGGCTCCCCCCCGGCCCCTCCGCCCGCCGAACCCCCGGGGCGGCCGCGGGGCCCCGCCGCCGCTCTCAGCGCCAGCCCCGGCCGACCCCGGCCCTTCCCCCGCTCCCGGCCCAGCGACCCGCGGTACCGCGGGCCCTCCCGAGCCCGGTACCATGAAGCTGCGGCCGCGGGCAGCCGCCGGGGCTCGGCCGAGCGCTGCACATCGGCCGTGCTTCCCTTCCGGCGGGGCGGGCGCTCGGCGCCATGGGGCGGCGGCGGCTGCTGGCGGCGGCGGCGGCGCAGCTGGCGGGAGCCTGCCCGGGACAGGCGCGGTTCCTGCTGTAAGGAGCCGCGCCGGGGGTGGGGGTGGCGGTGGGGGCGGGCGGGCGGGAGGGGGTGGTGGGAGAGAGAGCGCGGTGGTGACGCGCGGGGTGTCCCCGCCCGGTGGCGGTGCCGTGACGCTTTCCCTTCTCTCCCGCAGGTGGACGCTCCGCAGCTCCCGAGGCGAGTGAGGGTCCTCGGACACACGGTGGTACCGGGGCCGGAGGAGAGGGGCTTCGGAGCAGGGCGCCCCTCCAGCAGAGGCTCCTGCGGTGGGAGGGCAGCGCAGAGGTTGCCGAGGGGCAGGAGCGTGGGAATGCCGCCTTTCCCATTTCGTCCATTATCCCCTTTCCTTTCGCACTGCACCCGGAGGGCTGTGCCGCGCTGTGCTCCTGGCTGCCGCCAGGAACGTCGAGCTTGCCGGAGAGCAGGGGCCAGGTGTTCCTCAGCGGTGTAGGGAGAGGGGTTCGACTCCGGCTCTGGTAGCAGGAGCTGATAAAGCAGATGCACGAGCCTCTTACTGGGTCTGAAAATTATCTCAAAGCATTCCTTTATCCCAGGCTGAGGTGCGGTCGTTTTCTCGCACTTAAAATGGGCAAAGAGCTTTACAAGGCTCTGGCAAGAGTGTGCCTGCAGGGAGCTCCTTGCAGAATTGTGAGCCTCCGTTGTTAAAAGATTTTCAGAGAGGAATTCCATTTTTCAGTAAAATCTGCAGTTACATATTGTGTAAACTTACACCATAAGCATAAAATTACCCTGAATTGTGCTTAGCTGAGCACATACTAGTGCCCAGCTTCCTCTGGAATCCTAGTTGTATCTTAAACATAAAAACACGTACCTAGGTATTGTTGAAACTGAAACATACTCTATGAATCTTTGCTTATAAAAATAATTTTTTCATTCTTTTACCTTTATTTATCTGTAGCTAATGAACGTGGATTAGAAAGGATATGTCCTTACTGCTTCCAGTTCCTGGTTCCTGACAGCTACCGGGTGCGTCTCAAACCAAAGATGAAAGTGTCTCCACAGATAGAGAAAGTTCTTAAGCGAGAGGCGAAGAACCATAAACTTAACATGAAACAGACAAAGCTTTTGAAAAAGTACAGGGAGTCAAGCAGCGTTCTGGTAAGGACAGTTATTTGGGACTGACAAGTACATGACATTTCTCTAAATTTCATGTCCCTATTTCAGTGGCATAAAAAAGAAGATACAGAAACCTTTCTCTCAGAAGAGGAGCCTACACCTGCACATTTCTTTTTCATGAGCATGTGACTCTTTCTTTTGGAATAACTTCTATTCATAATCAAAACTTTTTAAATCTACCCTCCCCAATAGATAAATCATGAACAATGACAAGAACAGTAAGATTTTCCCTCCAAAAAACGCCACAACCCCACATTGTCAGAAGCTACGCAAACAGCTCTGCCTTCCCTGTGATATCTTTAGCAGCAGTCTGAGTAGGCTCTGCAGATGTCTAAGCTCTTGCTGAAAATTAAGTAATCTTTTCCTGCCAGAAGCTCTGGTATTTCCACTGTCAGCTACTGTATCATTAGCATAGCTTTGCAAAAAAAATGGCAGGAGTAGCAGATTTCTGCCTGTTCCTTTTTTTCCTACAAATGTGGCAGAACTAGGACCAGGCAACTGTACCAGATGCAGAGCTTTAATACAGCCATGTAGATCCTAAATCCATTGCTAAGGATAGTCCCATACCTAAGAAGCAAAACCTGCCATTGACTGAAGTCAGGCTTGTTGTGATAACTTGACATTTACTGCCTTTGTTTCAGTTTTATCAGTTGTTGAGCAAATATATTTTTACACAAGCTTTACTTCATTTATTTCACTAGGCTCTCATGGCTACATCAGATTATTGTTACCTTCTGTATTAATTGAATTTTTTACATTTGTCTGAATATTACTGTTTATAGAAATCTTTCAAAACTGAACTATGGAGGTAATTTCAACAAGCTGATGTTGCTCTTGGGGGTTCAGTTATTTTTCCTAGAAGTACTTAGGAATGTGAGCTTTAATTACTATTTTTTATAATAACTACTATTTGAAGAATAACAGTATACGTTTAATCTAGTGTTGCCAAGATATGTACTACTTTTAGAACATGTTATGTGAATGGCTGTTGTAATAAATGAAACAGCACCCTATTGTGCACAGCAGTTGCTAGCACACTTGGTATTTTCTTCTATTAGAGTCGGCTGGTTTGGGGAGTAAAATTTATGAAACCAAAAATTATTAAAGAGTTAATAAAACAACATTAAACTCAGGAAATATCACCGAGGTTCTTGGCTGTGAGACCAAAATAAGATGCTCCATAAATCACTTTTCCCAAACTGTAGGGCATAGTTGAGCTTCAGAAGGGATATCTGAAAAGGTTCTTCACCTAGGGGGTGAAGCACTGGAACAGGCTCCCCAGGAAAGTGGTCACAGCACCAAGGCTGACAGTTCAAGAAGCATTTGGACAATGCTCTCAGGCACATTGTGTGACTCTTGGGGCTGTCCTGTTCAGGGCCAGGAGCTGGACTTTGATGATGCTTGTGGATGCCTTCCAATTGAGGTGTTCTAAGATTCTGTGAGCTGAAATCTTGGCTTTATTTTTCTGGGATCACAAACATTTAAGGGTATCTTAAGAACTCTCTCTTTAAGCAACTGATGAACATGAAATTATGATGGGTTCTTAGTCTTATTCTGTAGCTGGAGAGAGTTTGTAAGGACGCACTGTGCATTCATATAAGTAGTTTAAAATTCAGTTCCAAAGAGGTCCATTGTAAACTCTGGATAATATTTTAATCTTGGTATGTAACTACAGTTTGCTGCACTTTTGTTCTGTTCAGTTTGCATTTGTCCTACGGATTATGGTTTAAGTATTTCTCATCTTAGTCTTTAAAATGCTGTCAGCAACTGGCAGCTTTCAAAATTAGCAATGTAGATCCCTGTAATCTAATACCTGAGACTTGTGAAAATGAAAATTCAAGTGTGGTTGAAAATTAAAGTGAGCAACAATGTGACAGGTTGTACCTCTGATACCTTTCTTAGCAAGTAGAGCTTGATTTTAGTCTGTTTCTGCTATGAAAAGGCATATAACATAGGGCAATTTTGGGGCTTCAAAATTTTTGCAGTTTACTGCAGATCCAGTTCAGGGAACAGAAACTAGCTGTGAAGTGCTACTATTAATCCAGTAATTCCTGCATTGTAAGGTGGTCACCTCCACTTATATTCCACAGAGTGCTAAGTCACCATGTGATGCTGGGTTTTTTCCCATCTGAATTGCATTTAGAAAAACTAAAAATACATCGATACCTGAGCAGCAAAAGTTAACGTTATTTCTTTTTTTTTTTTAGTTCATTAGGCTGACAAAATAATGTCTAGAGACAGTCAAAATACCTAAGTAACTGAAAACATTTCAGCATCTCTAAATGCAATTTTTTTCTAAACAATCTGAATTTAGTTAAATTTACACACTTTGAAATGATTTGGTATAGATGTTTTCAAAACTGCTTAGACATTTTTGTGACAGTCTTTTGAGTATGTTTTTTTAACCAGAAACATCACGTAACTCTTTCTCTGTCAGTGTAATTGTGTGCCTCAGAAAGTTGTCTGGCTGTATTACTCTCATGTCTCTTAATATGGGTAGTTGCCATGACAGTAAGGGATATCAGGAATATCTGACAGTCTCTGTGACTGTCTGACATTATCTGTTCTGATGCACCTCTCAACTTACTGTGCTGCTGGAAGTTCCCTGCAGCCTAGAAGTAAACAGAGAGAAGAGAAAGTGCCCTTTGTTCAGAATATCCTCCTTATTGTAGTAAGTATTTTTGCCCTAATAGAAACCCTCATCTTTGTTCACTGAGACGTGGTGTTACTAGTTAAACAGATGGCAGTTTTTGGGACTTTATAATTCAAATATTTTACCTCAAGACTCCCTGGAAAGTGTGCAATATGACTTTATCAGGCGTACAATATGCTAATGTATTTAGATGATATGGTATGTCATGCTTTTTAGCCAAATGTACAAGAGTACCTCTAATGTACAGAGGTGCTCTTGTATACTCAATGTATCTGGTATGCCCAAGATACCATATATCCAGTTCAGTTGCTCTTTCATCTTTCTGTCTTGACAGGGTTGTTCTCTGTAGTTCACTGTACAACGTTAAGTTCAGAGTTACAGGTCTTCTGAAATTAGTTACCAGGGAATTGGAGTAATTTCCAGATAAACCCATAGGAAGTGTTTGGCTTAAGAAATCTGAATTAAAATATTAGTTGTAAAGTATATGTTACTTTTTAGTATCTTATGTTTTACTTAAGCAAATATTTAATTTGTGTCATGGTATTTGGAGAACAGTTTGGATA